CTGACGAGCGACGCACGCGAAAAGTTGAGAGTTGGCCATCTTTTTGCTTTGTGTTGGCGTGAGCGTTGTCGAATTTTGGCTATGTGGACGGCTGCATTTGAATTCATGTATTCATAGTCAGCTGTTGAAGCGACGCCAACGCCAACGCAACGCCAAAGTTCTATGTAAACGGGCCTTCAGAACAACCGCAGTGATGTGAAGTCGATGTTTATCGAAAGCATGCTGTGAAACATACAAATAGTAGATATCTAAATGTTATGCACAAATTTATTTTAAAAGAACTAGGGTGAAACTGACTTATTATTTGAGAATTTATATAAATTATTCCAATTATAAAATTGTGATGTAGCTTTATTCGAATTGTAATACGCATTTAATTTCATCTTCCGATTAAAATGGATCGATCTTTGTAAATTTTAATGAGAGATTATTCAATATTATCAAAATCACCCTCTACGAACTTAATTTTTACATATTTCGTCTGTTTTCCCGTAATTTGATAAAATACTTCTTCCTAGTTACGACTTAGTTGCAGCTGCAGCCGAAACTAAATTGTAAGTTGGTACTTAGCCAGAAAAGTCGAAACTAAGGCGACTATGAATAGCTTTAGTTGTGACTTAGAATAGTTTCGACTTAGTTGTGTACTAAATATGAATATGAATATGCGCCATTGTTTTCAGGAAGACGACATGTTCATAATGAAATTGCTTTTCAAATTGAATGCAGCCTTCGTAACGGCTTTAAGGGCCGGTTGTTCAATGTCTGATTAGCACAAATCGGAGGTAGAAGCTCCGGTTAAATACAAAGACTGCTCTATCGATCACATGTTACATGCATGATGTCGAAATCGTCGATAGTGTAGTGGTAGTGATAACCAGACATTGAACAACCGGCCCTAAATTTTGATGATTTTCGACAAGCAATAGCTCTGATCCAGTACTCCATGAACTTACAGGATCTTACACGAACTTGCAGGAAGTTGCAGGAAAAGTGTTCCCGTACTCCGACTTTTGGAGAGTTGTGTAGAGAATGAAGTTGCAAGATTTTACCCGAACTTTTTCTTCTGGTAAAATCATGAAAAGTGTCAAGCAATCACTGGTTGACATTTTTACAGGAAAAGTGTTTTTTTTTTGTTCCCGTACTTTTTGTTGTTACTCACTTTTTACTCTCACTTCAGAGAGTAATTTTGCTGTTTGAAAGTTTTACAGGATTTTTCACGAAAAGTATTGGATCAGAGCTAATATGTGTGAGGAAAGGCAAAACTGATTGTGTGTCGTCCACGTAACGACATTATCAACATGCCGTCTTCAAGAAAACAATGGCGCATATTCATAGTCATATTTAGTACTCAACTAAGTCGAAACTATTCTAAGTCACAACTAAAGCTATTCATATAGCGTTTTCTTTTCTCAAAAAAAGTTTCGAACTTTTATATGGCACCTCTTGCTTTGTGCTGCCCTCAAACCTGAGAAAATGCTGCGTTCTTTATATGAGAATGAAACAGATAAAAGGCTACCCTGTCACAAATTAGCTGTTTGGTACTTTGTGTGTTTATTATTTTTTGGAATTGATCGGTGGAAATAATATTTATACTAAAACATAAAAGGAAATAGTATTTATAATGGAGGAGGAAAGAAATGAGAGCCTGTGCATTAAGCGCATAATTAGTAAGTATAAAAAGCACACAATTTCTTCGCATTGCAAAGAATAAAAATAAATGTGTTGTTATTGCAGTGTGGACAGAAGGTGAAACGCGACTTCTGCTCGATAAATACAGGAGCTACCTGCCTGAAATTGGTCCGATGAAAGCCATGCGTAACAAAAAAGAAATGTGGGTGAGGATATCTACAGAGATAGAAGGAAGAACGGCAAAGCAATGTGAGGATAGGTATAAAACTTTGATAAACAGGAAGAAAGCAGCGGTAGAAAACAACCATACGTCTGGAGCCAAGAGGCAGAGAATCGAGTTCGCCCAAGAGCTCGAAACCATAGCCGTAATTGATGACTCAATTGAACCAGAAGTTGAAATGAGTAGCCAGGCGGTAGTAACAAAAAGCGTAGATGTGCCAACAACAAGCAAAAATGTTGCTAAGAGGAAAGTGGTTTCTGTGCAGGAAAAGTTAATAAGTATTTCAAGAGAAAAAGAGGAGGCGCGCGAGCGGCGTCACAGAGAAAGAATGGAAGCTCTTAACAATATTCAAGAACTTATATCTAACTTCCTTCAAGGAAATGTAATAGAGGAAGAGGAAATCTGAACGCAATGGAAGTTACCTGAAGACGTACCTAATTGCACTTAATACTAACTAATAGACTTGAAGTGATATTTTAGTTTTTATGAAGTACTTTTAATTATTTATTTGTTTACAAAAACCTTTGATACATATTTAAATATTAGAATATACAGTGCCTGTAAGAAAATAACACCTAAACATTTTGACCAGTTTTGACTATTTTTCTTTTGTTTATTTAATGTTTATAAAAGTTTAGCCAGTTCTACAACAAGCACCATATGACCTCGCACTCCAAATTTCGTACAAAAATTAGAAAAGTTCTGTAAAGTTTCACGAAAATTTCAAACTTTTTACATAGAATCTTTATCCTGCCGTATTTTTATAAATTTTGTACTAAGTTTGGAGTGTGAAGTTATAAGGTGTTTGTTGTACAACTAGCTAAACTTTTATAAACAAATAATAAACATTAAATAAACAAAAGAAAAATAGTCAAAACTGGTCAAAATGTTAAGATGCTATTATTTTGATCGCAGAAAGAAAAGACTTGAACTACCTGAATAAATTTTTGAAAAAATACAAGAATTCGTTTTAATATGTTTAGGGCCGGTTACTCAATGTCTGGTTAACACTTATCCCCGGTTAAACATAGTTATCGACGTTACCGACTCCCTGTTGCATGCATGGAGTCGAAGACGTCGAAGACCGCAGATTAGAGTTAACCAGACATTGAGGCCCTTAATCTGTTTGTTGTTGGAAAAATAGGCTTTCAGTTCGTTTCGTTTTATGGCTCCCAGCTGTGTAAGCAAATAGTCCCTCCTATCGCCTCTTTCAATGGAAATATATTCAGACTGGCAATTTGTTGCATCAAGGGCAATAAAGTCGTTCCTATCAATACAAAGGTTATGAATGGTGCAGCATGCTATTACAAACTTCGCCATCGACTCCACGTTGTGGAAGTCTAAGCGCATTAGTTGCCGAAAGCGGGATTTTAGCACCCCAAACGCATTTTCAATTTTTACCCTAGTTTGACAAAATTTCGTGTTGTAAAACCTCTCCGCTTCGCTTAAGTTACCATAATCCCTGAACGGTGTCAACAAATACTCTCTAAGGGGATATGCTGAATCACCCAGCAAGTAGTATTTAGGTGTACATACATTTGGCAATTCCTTTCCAATGAAGGACAGTTTCAGGACTCTTGAGTCGTGAATTTTGCTTGGAACTCCTGTAAATACGTCCAGAAAACGTAACGTTGCATCACAAATGGCTTGCAAAGTTATGGACACGCAATCGTGTCTGTTCGCGTAAGTGGAGCGTATTTTATGTCTTGGTTTTCTGCTCGAAATATAACTGCCGTCTATACAGCCCAAGACATTTGGAAAACCAGCAATCTGGAATTAAAAAGAAATATATACTGCAAGTTAAGTAGATTATGAAAGTGTACGTACATTTTTGAATTCATTTGCGATTGCTTCTTTTTCTTCAGTTTCGATTGGAACCCTTATCGCTTCTGGGGCAACGTGTTTTACAAAGAAGTTCAAAACTTTGTTGAAAGTGACATGTCGAAAAGATTTCCAACTTCCCTAAAAGTAGTTTTATTTGCAGCAAACCTGATTAAAAAATATTTATATATATTCATTTTCTGTTAAATTATTTCATTTAGCCTACCATAGAAATGAAACTATATGTGTTTCCGCAGTTGTTTGCCGTCTTCCTCCCTTATAACTCCTTACTGTGTACCACGTACTTGAGGTGTATCTTTCTACCAGGTACTCATAAAGTCCTCGACTAATACGGAAATTTTTCTTAAACTGTAAAATGTATGT